GCGGGTACCTGCCTCAAAAATCCAATATTTTTGACACCCACACCCGCACCCGCACCTGCTAGGGCCGCCAGGGCGGGTACCCGGGTACCTGGCACATTTTTGCAGGCAAATATACCCAGAAATCTCACCCTTGAATTTCTGCATGACTTGGTAAATATAAGATTGATATTCACTAGATATATGAGTAAGAATAAAATAAAAATAAAGAAATAAAGAAATAAAGAAAAACAAATTATTCTATCACCAATTTGAATTTTATCTTCTCTCTGATCTATCTTTAGCTTTACCCTTTTACTTGGCCTCATTTGCCTTATTCAATGTCCATTGATGAAGACTGTACACCGTCTTTATGACTGGAGGAATTTCTCCAGTCATCAAGACTGTACAACATCTTAAAGGCCGGAGGGAACCCTCCGGCCTCAACAAAGCAACCAGATTAGTTCAGCAACCCATGTAAGACACCAGCTGGTGTCCTACATGGGTTGCTGACACCTTTTTGCAGCCCAACACACCCAAAAAAGTGAGTGTTGGACCACCAATGATAAATTAAATTCTTCAGTGGAAGCATTCCCAGGGCGGGTGTAAGGCGGGTACCCGGGTACCTGCCTTTTCTTACCGCAAATTTTGACACCCGCACCTGTTTTTACCACAAATGTTGACACCCGCACCCGCACCCGGTACCTGTTTCTGGGTACCTGCTTTGGAAAACAGGTACCTGCAAACGGGTACCGGGTAAACGGGTACCTGCTGACATCTCTAATGCTATTGTTAGTTGATGATTTTTGGTGGGTGGATTGGAGGCAGATGGCCACCTGGATTGGGAATCAAAAGCAATGAAGGCTACTGTGGCAAAGATGGTTGCCTATGATGACATCATGGTGTTGAGAGGGAAAAAAATGAAATAAAAATCCAAACCTAAATAATGAAAATCCATGATTTTTGAGTGAAGATCCCTCCGATCTGTCCAAGCATTCTTCAAAATACAATACAAGAGACAGAGCAACATGTAAGAATTCTGGAACAACATAACTACAGAAATTTGTGATAAAAACAGCAATGTGTGGTGCAAATTTTGCATTCTAGTTTAAGCAACATATTATTAGACCATCTCAAGAGGAGTCACAGAAGAAATACATTGCAGAACAAATATCTTCACTACTAGATGGTTATAGATCAATGTATTCAAATGTTGTCACAACATATTATATCGGCTAGATCACAGAACAAGAAGATTTTCACACAGTCACATAATTCAAAATGGTAATCAAAACAGGACTAGAATTCCATGGACCACTGGCAGAGACAAAGCCACTGTGCACTTGCAGGGGATAATGAGCTTGACAACCTACTGAGAAAACATGTCCCCATTTTCCCTGTTGGGGACAAGGCTCAAGTTTCATCTTCAGGCTAATATTTCAGGACATTTGAGCTTCTTTCTGGTTAAAGTACACACAGTGATGGACTCAAGTTTCCATATGATTTGTGACAGATGAGTATTCATAAGTGATGAAAATCATTCATATAGACTAACTAGACAATCTGTGACATCTGTCACAGTCAACCTCTATGACTATGTCACAACAGTTTAAAGCATTTGAAATCAGTGGGCTTTCCTATGTCAAGAAGGAAAAAGTGGATGACTTCCCATTGGATCTAGGGCCTTCCCAGTTTTTGATTTAGACCCAAAAAGTCTAGTTTTTTCAGGTAAATCAGACTTTGATGGGAAGTCCTCCAGTATGACCATCCCAAAGTAGTCAAGTTGATTGGAGGACTTCCTGTCAAATCTACAGCCCTTGTAGATGTTGATTTTGACCTTAAATTATAAACTCTTGCTGGGAAGATGGAGGACTTGCCTTGACTTCTGCAGCCCTTTATTTCTTAATTTAGCTCCTGTAAAGCCAACCTGTCAATTTTACTTGGTGGTGAGAACTTGATGTCAAATAATTTTCCCAGACTTTCCCCAGCAAATTAAGGGCCTGTACCATAGGACATGAAAATTCAACTTCTCAAAATTTATCTTGCTAAAAATTTCATATGATCAAAATTGACCATAGCTTGAAGCTAGTCTTTGGCATGAAATTGAAGAATTTCAACACCAGATCTCTACAATTGTTCCCAGTTTTTGTGTAGAGGATGGAAAAATGCCCATTTTTGAAAATTGAATCCTATGGTACAGGCCCTAAGTTTAGCATCTAGATTCTACAAATCTAAATCTAGGCTTCCAGATTGACGGAATGTCCTCCCCCTAACAGCCTGTAATTCTGGCGTGACAGGTCACAGTGGGCTGTAAAATTGAAAAGTCCTCCAGTTTCACAGCTTATTGGTAAAGTGTTTGGATCTCAAAAGGAAGTTAGTCAATCAAGGTCCACAGCAGAAAGTAAAACATTTGAAAGGTCTAGTAGATAGATTGGGGGGGGGGACTCATGATTGCCCCTTGTAGGACTTTCTAGCAACTTTCAATGCCTTCATCAATTCATTACAATGTAAGAAAATTGAAAAGCTGGATATAATGGATGACTTCCCGTTGACATCTGTGGGTCTCCCAGTTTCAATGTAGAGCCGCATAAGCTGGATTTCCCTGCAAAAATCTAGACTTTTTGGGTCTAAACCACAAACTGCAAGGGTCCCAGATCCGACGGGAAGTCCTCCAATGTGGGACTTATAAACAATTGGTCCAACTTGTTCACATGTTTCAGAAAGTTCATGATACATACCTTACAAATTCAACAGGTAATGATGTTTGTTAAATTTCAATTATAAACCCCCCTATTTTTATGGATTTACCTCTGCTTGAACATTGGAGGACTTCCCGTCAGGATTTAGAGAGATTTTTAGACTTCCCTCAGTTCTAAATCAACAACACAATTAAGATTCCAACCAGCTCACATGTGAGCCATTGCTAGCGGGCTTCGGAAAAAACAATTTTTTTGATCAAAAAAATTAGATCTAATGGGTATAAACAGCGGTGGGCCACTACGCTACACTACACTTTTGGCCCAAAAAGTGTATCGTAGCGGCGCTTTTTATGTGCCAAACATTTGTAGTGTTAGTGTTTTTTTAGCGGATATTTGCTATGCTACAGACTGCTAACAGCGCTACAGGGCCAAAAAACCGCTAACCAGCATGTTATCGTAGCATAGTGGGCCCTTTTTTGGGGCCTATGCGCATAGTGTTAGTGCAGATGTGGCAGAATTCCACAACACTACACTAAATTTTAGCAGAACTCCGCTACACTACGGTTACATAGTGTAACTGGCCCACCGTTGGTATATAGCCTCTGGGAGGGTCGTAGATTGCGACGGGAAGTCATCCATTGCAAACCCCCACAGGTTTTTAAGCTGAGGCCTTGAATATCAGCACATGTCCCTTGATTGCCAACAGTAAACAACTGATTTCTGATGGCTGCTAGGCTTGGACTGGCCTGGTGTACAGTGGGTGGACCGTTATTTTTGGCTGCTTGTTTTGGATTCTACAGCTTCAAAGCACAAACTTTGAGTCACAAGACTTGGTGAAGTGGTGCAGAATAGGTCCCAGAAAATGAATTTGAAAAAATAAAAACAAAACACAAAGTGGAGGACTTCCCGTCGGATCTGGGGCCCTCGCAGAAGTCGGTCTAGACCCAAAAATTCTTGATTCTCGCAGAGAAATTTGAATTTCAAGCCTCTAAACCGGCTCTGGGAGACCCGCAGATGTTGACGGGAAGTCCTCCAGTTTTAAATTTTGTGAAAAATAAAAAATAAAAATGTTTTTTTTCCAAAATCTTTGTTATTCATTTTGGAGGAGTAGGAGTGCTGAGAGAAACAAAGAGTGGAACATGGCAAGAATGATTATAAATGAAAAAAATTGGAACCAAAAAAGGTTGAGCCAGGTTGGTTGTCCAGGTTGGAGTCAAAACAGTAAATTCTAGTGCTTTACTGCAATGTGAGCTGGTGAATGCCCCACTCAACAACTGGTTAAAACTATCTGGTAACCACTTTTTCCAAAATTTTCATTCATAATCATTCTTCCCACTTCCCATTCTTTCTTTCTCTCTGCACCCACACTTCCCCAAAATGAATAACAAAGCTTTTGGAAAAAAACATTTTTATTTTTTATTTTTCACGAAATTTAGAACTTTGTTTTTTGTTTTTATTTTTTCAAATTCATTTTCTGGGACCTATTCTGCACCACTTCACCAAGTTTTGTGACTCAAAGTTTGTGCTTTGAAGCTGTAGAATCCAAAACAAGCAGCCAAAAATAACGGTCCACCTACTGTACACTTTCTTGAGTGAATCTGATGGCAGTAATTTCCCTCCTCTAGTTTGATTGTCCACCAGAAATCAAATGCAACGGCCAAACAGGATATGGAAGCTTTGACTTGCCCCGGATCACACCCCGCAGTTATCGGGCAAACAGTCCAAGTCTTGACTTGCTAGAGACCCACAAGAAGGAGATAAATGTGAGAATGTCTTCTCCGTATGTGTTGAGGCAGCCATACATTCCATACTGTGCTCGGAGGGTCTGAGTATGTAAGAAATGAAAGCTCAACGCTCAACAGTCGTCACATTCGGTTGTCTCGATTTCAATGGCCGTTGAATTACGCATAGGGGATCTCTCGAGTTTTAGACAGGTAGGTTTGAGATCAAATGTTGGCAAATCTCCTTTAAACGGCTTCGGAATCGGAGAGCAGGTCAATTTTCTAAACGCAAATTAAATGCTGGTCTCCAGCGACTGACGCTGTCAGGGCGGTGTCGGGTTGCTACCAGGCCAACTGGGTATTACTCAAACTCTGACTCGCTCAAACGTGGTCGTACTTGGTCTGCTGGAGCTCACCGACTTGAAGGCTTCAAGCCATCCTTGACTAACAGGAACTCGTGGAGCCATTTGACCCTCAAATCCCTGCTCGCAGTCACTTCTCATGATCTCATAGCCCCTCTGCATCGCCCTGGAAAATCTTGAACGTAAGATTGAACTGTACAATCAAAGGTCCAAAAAAGGTGTTGCTATCTTCGAATACAACGCAAGGGTGGCGACCAACTTTCAAAGGGACCCTTATTGTCCTGTCATCATCAAACAGTTGCTTCTCTTGAAAGTTCAAACAAACCTGGTGAAGACACAATCCAGCTTGCCACTGTAGCGCCAAGCAACTGCTTCAAATGCCTTACACGGTTGTTTACTCTCAGAAGAAGTTTCAACCACCCAACACCTCGGACTAACTCACCTATCCACATGTTACCACCCATTCAAGATATCAAGATGCCAATTGAACTATCCATGCCACTAGCAATGGGCTTTCAGACACGCTCACCAAGATCAATGAAAATCACCTGCCTGACAATTGGCACGAGAGGCGATGTCCAACCATACATAGCCCTTTGTCAAAGATTGAATCAACTAGGACATATCTGCACCATTGCAACTCATAAAAACTTCCGAGATTGGATCGAAAGCAGTGGGATTCTTTTTGCCGAAATCGAAGGAGACCCAGAAGAGCTAATAGAACATTGCGTAGAATTTGGTAACTTGCACTTTTCTGTTTCTGTTTCTTGTTTCTATCTTTTTTCTTGTTTAGAATTTTTTCATCTGAAACTGATATTTTTTTCGAAAACAAAACAGGCGTCTTGTCACCATTCTTTTGGTGGAATGGCCTCTCCCGTGTATGTTAATATCCCAAGACTCCTAAATTATTGAATTTCTGAAGAGATGAAGATATGTTCCAGACAATAATGACTGAGCTTCTTCCAAAAAAATAATAATTAGTTCACTCCTTGGTTTGATGGACTCCTCACAAGCTCCTGGAAAGCCTGTCAAGGAAGCGATCTGCTAATTGAAAGTCCAAGCGCTCTAATTGGTGTCCACATCGCCCAGAGTCTCAATATTCCATACTACCGAGCTTTCACAATGCCTTGGACAAAGACTGGCGTATACTTCCATGCTATGCTAGCGATGAGTGATACTTGGGGAAGCTGGATTAATCGGATGAGGTGAGAAGAGTGAAAGGTTGGCATCTAGTTCTATAAAAATACTAACCTTGCTTGCTTGACCTAGTTATATCCTCTTCGACCTTCTGCTTTGGGCTATCCTTTCAAGCCGAATCAACGCCTGGAGAGAATCAGTGCTGGGTTTAGAGCCAACGACTTTTTCTCAACTTAGACTTGATCAAGTACCATTTCTTTACAATTTCAGTTCATTTGTGGTACCTAGGCCGGATGACTGGCAGCCATGGGTGAAAACAACCGGGTATTGGTTTCTCAATTCCCAAGAAAACACATCTTCGGAAAAGTATCCTGAAAACAGCATACCTGAAGACCTCAAAAAAGTCATACATCAAGTCAAAGAAAGCGGACGCAAAATCGTCTACATTGGGTTGGATCAGTAAGTCTAATATAAAATCGTTGACTTATTTCATTTTTTTTTTGCCCAATCATAATGCCTCATTTGAAAGCTAATCAGTCACAAAACTTTGAGGTCATTGTTCCAGACCCGGAAAAAATCATGAATGCCATCATAGGTGCGGTAAAAGAGTCAAACGTATTTGCCATCGTATCTGGAGGTTGGACAGCGCAACAAGCAGAGAGGATACACGAGTCATCTGCCATGAGGGCGTATATCAACCAGCACCTCGATTCGATGTACTACGTGGATTCGATTCCTCATGGATGGCTGTTCGACCAGATAGATGCCGCTCTTCATCATGGAGGTGCAGGGACAACAGCAGCGAGCATCAAAGGTGGGCATCCTCCCTTTCTTCCAGATACAATGTCGAATTTATGTATGGACCACTGATCTCAATCCATCACAAATCAGCCGGAATTCCCACGATGATCAAGCCCTTTTTTGGTTAGTTTTTCACTATATTTTCTTAACACTTCGCAACGGTGACGAGCCTACAAGCTGACTTGATTTATAAGCACAGGAGATCAAAATTTCTGTATGCACTTTCGCTCTGAACCTGAAGACCAAAATTGGGTGTGGATATATGGGGTTGAACTAACATTCATCGCATTCACAATTAATAGGGGCTCGAAGGGTAGAAGAGCTGGGCGTTGGTACCCATCTTAAAACATTTGAAAAGCAGGATATTCTTCAAGCTATCCGACGGGCGACTACCGACGAAAACCAGATCAATCAGGCAAGAATTCTTGGAGAAAAAATCAGACGAGTGAGTTGAATTGCAACCACTACATTGAACACAAGTGATGCTGACATGCTCCATTGACTGAAAACCAAGGAAAACGGAGTGGATAATGCAATCAAGGCAATCTACGAGGTAAGCCCGAATACAAGGAGTACTGGTGATAGCGCTTTCTCAGTTGGCAACATTTTCACTGATGCTTTTCCCCCCGTTTTTCATCAACATCTAGTATCTGGACTATTCGCAGTGTCTGATTGAAACGACCCGTTCTCTAAGCTCACAATCCCAACCAAACCAATTTTCTCAAGTGGCCTCAGCCGTCAAATCCAAATTCTCCAGCACCATCAAAGCTGTCTATTTTTATCGCCCTGCAACCCTGTCGAGGAGTAATTATGATGCTTATAGCTCACTGGTCTAAACTCCTCCAAGTATCTCAAATCGATCCAGATCCTCGAGTATTCTACCCCTGTCACATAGCTTCCCTGTCTCCCGTTCGAATCGCTCTAGTACTGTTTTATATATTCTCTCAACACAATCTTGCTGTTCTAGTAGTTAGTACTGTAGCCATCATCATCATTTACTGTTTCTAGTTTGTTTGAACAAGGGACTCTTAGTTTTTAAAGTTATCTAATATGAATGCAAACATACAAAAAATGAGGAAGAGCCTAGAGGCGCAGTGCGGCTCATCTGCCGGTGAGAGTATGTTTTGCTCTAATCTGGTCTCCAGTTCCAACCCACGCGGGTGATAACCATATTGTCGATCGAACTTAACACAAGCCCCGATGCCCTGCTGGGGGCGGTGTTGGCATGCGAGTGGCCTCGCCCTTGTCGCATTGCGCCTTGAGTACGTACTTTCATGTAAGAGCAGTTCATGTGTGTGATGTGGGTCTCGCACCTTTGAAACATCAATTGCCTGGCAGAAAATCCTAACTATTCTCTTCCCCTCAATAGACACCCGAGATAAACATGATACATTTACACGGTAAGCAGGTAGACACACCTGTTTCCCTCTGCTTGGTCAGCTCTTTCATGACGGACAATCATAAATGAAAAAGGGAAGGTCAGGAGAAGAAAGAAATGAGATATGGAACAGAGAATGCTGATGCACTTGATGAAGCTGAAATATCTCATCATGCAGCTTGGTAGGAACGGCCACCGTTCTGCTCATTTTTGGCAAGATATATCTTGATAGACAAGCAGTTTGTTGTGATGATAATATACCCCGGATCAACAAGGAAAAACAAGTATGTCCTTGGGGTGTTTGCATAAAAGGTATAAGAGAAAGGGGACGGGGGGGTTGTAGACATATTAGCCTAATACATTATATCTACCAACAGCTTGATGGTGTCCGGGGTTTCGAGATTCAGCTTCTAATGCTTGGGTGGTAGCTTCGATCAAAATATGCTTGATCTCGGTGATTGCTCGTTGAACCTAAATTGTTGTTCCCATCAACCAGAAACAAGGGAATGGGGAAAGCAAGACCAATATGATGGCTTTTCTTTAGTATAATTTACTTGTAAAAGGACTCGGTTTAAATGTTGTTCCTTCGGATCAAACAATCAGGGAATGACTCAACTCTCCACTCTTCATTAGATTCGACTAATAGATGCAGTTTCGGCGGCTCATCCGGACCAGGTTCTTTGCCTTTCTCATAGAACACGCCTGAAAGAGTAGAAAGTGATTCCCGCAAAACCCAAGAGGAAGGTGAATTGTAAGCAGGCGGGTTTCTCATTCATCAATCAAAAAAGGATGAAGATTATACCTTTGTTGGTGACCGAAGCTCCAGTACTATCCACAAGTTGGACCATAGTCTCTTTATTCGTGACTTTCCATCTGGCTTTCTGTTAAAACACAAATCGGACGTTATCAGTACTTGATTACTGAAAGACAAAGTGAGGAATTGAGAGGAGATGCGAACTTGAGGATAATCGTTGATGGGAACGATAGCATGGAAATCAGTCGCATCAGGATCTTTAGACCGGTTGTTGTTGTTATTGAGGTTGTTATTGGCTGATTCGTGGTTTCCGGCTTGGGCTTGGGCGTTCTTAGCAGCAATCATCGATCTTAATTTGGCGTTCAAGTCAGCAACCACATTTTGCGCTCTCGCAATTCCACTTGCATCCAGCCTTTCAATAATTTAGTTTTGTGTGATTCAAATTATTTATCAGTCAGTTAATATAACTTTCCGAAAGGACGGATTTGAAAACATAAGGCACATACCCCTTCGCTTGGGCTGCAGCTTGAGCTGCTTTTAGCGCAGCGGTAAGAGCTGGTGTTGCTGCTGGATCTACAGGCGCTGGTGGGGGTGGCTTGGCAGCAGGTTGCGAACGTCTGTTTGAATCAGGCGCGGGTCCTCTCTTGACCTCGACATTGATCTCTGGTATCTCAACAGTTGGGATCGCAGTCGTCGTAGTACTGCTAGCCGCTGCACCAGCCACGCCGGTTCCGACCTCTTCCTTGCTCGCCTCTTCTCCCCCAGGTTCACCATAGGCCGATCTTTCGGCACGTGACTTGGCATCTCGGTCTTTCTCTAATCTGTCGAGCCCTTTACCACCAAAGCCAGACCCTGAGGCTTGCGCTTTTCCAGATTTAATCTTTTCCAAAAACGCTATGCAGAAAGAAGTCCGAATTTGAAAAAAAAAATCAAGGAGCAAGGGTTACGCATCAGAAATTGAATCTCGATTGACGTTTTGAGAATACATCAAACTGGGGAAAAGAACAGAACTTACAATCTGACATTGTCTTCAGTTCTTCGGGATATTTGGCACCACTAGTGACCAGCGCCCTTAGTAAATCAACGGCATATCTCTCTTGGTCAGGGGCGATAAAGGTAATACAAGTACCTTTGTTACCAGCTCGTCCGGTTCGACCAGCACGGTGAACATAATCTTCCATGTGATTGGGAGCGTCGTAATTAATGACCAACTTGAGTTGTTTGACATCTAAGCCTCTAGCAGCAACAGACGTTGCGATTACGATAGGAGTCACTCCAGATTTAAAATCCGCAATCACCTGGTCTCGATCAACTTGCTCTTTCCCACCATGTAATGACAAGCAGGGATATCCTTTCTTCAGAAGATCTCGGAATAAATTATCGGCTGATTCTTGTCGATCGACAAATACCAATGAACGGGACTCGGAATCCTCATTGTATGATCTGCCTAAAATTTCGAGCAATCGGTTGAACTTTGTGGAGTCTTGCCGAACCTCGACTATCTGTTCAATTTCTGAGGCAACGACTGATCGACCACCAACAGTGATTTCTAATGGTCTTCGAAGGATCTTTCGAGCCAAGGCTTCCATTTGCTTAGGGAAAGTGGCTGAGAAGAGTACGGTTTGGCGATCGGGCCGAATTTGATTAACTATTTTCATCACCTTTTTTGTGTTTGAAAAAAAGAAGAAAAGAGGACATGCAGAAAACATAAGTTCAGTTAATTGTCACACAATCTTTTGATATACAACGCAAACGTACTAGGAAGAAAATAGACTAACCTGTGGTTCAAATCCCATGTCAAACATTCGATCAGCTTCATCCAAGACAAGATAAGTAACTCGACGCATATTGATGACTCGACCAGAATTAGTTGTCAAAAGTTCGATCATCCTTCCTGGAGTACAAACAATCACTTCGGCCCCGCGCTTCATGTCAGCAATGTTATCTTTCAATGGCGATCCACCATAAGCACAAGCGGCCTAGTGAACATGTCAAGAAGCAAATGTTAGTTCGGTCGGCATCAGTTTAAATATCGGTTGACCACTTGTTTTTCGTCAAGAGGTAGTGATCAAACCGATGGATTGTAGGAGCCGGTGTGATGAGGGAAATCAATATACACAAACTCTCAAAAACAAGAACAAAGAAATGATACAACGATGGAACACAACATTGTTCTTGGAAGAATGCTGGCATAATTGGTATTCAAATGAGACAGACACTCACCCTCAAGCCCAGAGATTTTAGAAAAGGTCTCCCCTCTTTGTAGATCTGAGTGGCCAATTCTCTTGTAGGCGTCATGATCATCGCTATAGGTCCTTCGAGCGCATCAAGAGGCCTTTGATCTTTAATATGTCGGAACATAGGTAATAAGAATGCCAGAGTCTTTCCGGATCCTGTCTTAGCTACGCCAATCACATCACGGCCTGACATGATCGCAGGTACAGCTTGTCCTTGGATCGGTGTCGGTGATTGGTAACCAAGGCTCTTAACGACTTCTAGGCTATATAAGTTAAGGGGGAGTTTAAGCACGCTATTGTTAATGCTATTCTTGTTGTGTTTGTCATTTTCAAAGGAAATTGGGAAAGCAAGATACCTACCATGCAGCATGTAATCCGAACCAACTCCATTTCATCACCGGTTTCGGGCAGTCTTGGCCACGAATCTTGATACCATCCATCGCAATTCGGATGTTTTCAGCCTGCTCGTCTGACATTTCTTCGACCTCTGCTGGCGGATGATAAAATGCTTTCCTGAATGGCTCATACGTAATCTTTTGATGGTCGACCGGAGCCAAATCCTTCTTTTTCAATTTCTTGGCCGCAAGTCTAGATCAGCAAATAAACAGCGTTTTCAGCATCACACTTCTGGTCAAAAGTCAATCAAAAAGTTAGGTATAGGAGATACGCACGCCATGATATCTTCAGGCCTCAAATTAGTCTTATCAATCTCGTCTTCACTGCCACCGGCCTGCTCGTCTTCATCATTATGCTCATCGTCTTCTTCCAGGACTTTTTTACCGCCAGCCGCCAATTGATTCATCTTTTTCTTATCCCTGTCATTAACTTTAGTCACTTCATCGGTGACTCCCGACATGTAAGCATCCAAAGGATCGACTTCTTCCTGATCTATGTCCATGGCTTGAGCAGGCTGTGCCAAGGTTTCTACATTTGACACCGCCTCGAACCGTTTTTTGGTCGTTTTTTCTACAGCTTGTGACAGTCGAATCTTCGATTCACTCTCTCCCTCCTCTTGGTCTACTTCGTCAGGTGCACCTCCGGTGGCTCCGGTTTCTTCTTCTACTCCATCGATAATCTTGCGTTTGTTATATCCAACATGTCCACCATCTACTAGATCTTCCTCGTCGCTGTCTTCCTCAGCCTCCACCAGCTTCAAAAGATCATCATCAGCATTGATAGCTTCGAAAGTCAACTTCTGAATCTTTGTTTTACCGCTGTCATCCTCCGTACCCAAAGCAGAGCTGAGTTTCGAATTGTTCGAAGTGGGATCCGGAAATGCGTTGAACGTTGGCTTGGTGGGTAAACCTTTGATTCCTATCGGAGGAGCATTTTTCATGAGCTTGGTGGGCGGTAGGATGGGTGGAGGGTGAGTCCCTAAGCGAGCAGAGATTGCAGCGGCAGCTAGAGCAGCTGCAGTAGCTTTGTCTGCAGCAAGTGGCTTCTTGGGTAGACCTTTAGGAGCGATTGGGACTAGTGGCTCTAACTTCTTTTCAACTTTGTTGGCGAGTGGTGTGGTCTGAATTGGATCAGATTTGGCAATAAGAGGTGGAACAGGAGTAGAATTAGAGCTAGAGTTCTCCTCGAGAGCCTTTTTAGCCTTCCATTGTTCGAGACGTTCACGCTTCATGCGCAGTTTTTGTTGTTCTAGGGTCTCACCTGGAAGTCGACCTTCTCGAGCCTCAGCAATTGCTCGGGCCTTGGCCACTGCTGAGCCTGGTGCCGACGAATCGATATCTTTCTTGATTTGGTTATCTGCTGTTCCTGTGGCAGGAATGGAGGGGCTGTTTGACAAAACCTGCTCAGAGGAGTCTTGGGCAACTATCGGGACTGATGATGAAGGAGGCTTGGATGGAATTTCGATGTTAGAGGAGGGGATGTCTGTTGGTTTAGGTGATTTAGGTCGGTCGAGTGGTGTTGAGGGCCGTTCATTTGGTTCGCGGCGAGGCTGATGATCACGCCTGCGATCACGATCCAAACCGTCACCACCACCATCTGGTGACTTGGTACGTCTTCTATTCCACCTCTCACGTTCTCTACTCCTACTCCTGCTCCTGCTCCTTCTTCTTTCACGATATCCTCGATCCTCATGCCGGCGACGATCATTGCGATATCGATTGCTATCCTTCTCGTGGTCTCTTTCTCTATCCATATCTCTTTCTTTGGCCTTTTTTGTGTGGCGATCTGGACTGGCTGATCGGTCGCGACGGTCACGCCTTCGATCAAGATCCCGGTCCCGATCCCGGTGAGATAGAGTAGATTTCGAGCTGCTGTGATAGTCATTTGAGCGGACCTTGTTAGAGTCTTGGTGATGGCGAGGAGATTCGTATCGGTAGGGATGATCAGTTTTGTAGGAGTGAGTCTTTCTTCTCTTTGAATCGTCTGCTGTTTTGGGGGGAGATGGGGACCTTGAGCGGGCGGGCGACATGATAGAAACTTTCTGGAAAAGTGTCTTGAGGTCGAATCCAAAACGAGCAACTTGATCGAGTGTGAATGACGAGTGGGAGTGACTGGATGACCAGATCATAGGAAATCAGAGAAGACGGTCAATGCATAATCTCACAGGAGTCCATAGCAAACGGGTGCATACCTGAAATTCTTGATGAAGCTACGAAATCCAAATTCGACAGGATATCTGCTTGATTTTCGCAACCTTGTATTGAATATCGAGGAAAAGTAAACGAGAATATAGAGCTTATATGGAGAATGCTTGTACTGACCTTGTTGTGGTTTACTCTGTATGTAGTCTGGCCTGGTGCAACACCAACGGTCAACAAGGACATCTCCCAAGAGATGTCACAGGAATCGGGGATGTCACACCACCCGCCTGCCATATACACATGTCACACTCGTTCAACTACATATGGCAGAGGGAATTTCTTCAGTCGGAGTCACCGGCAAATGCAATCGATTCACGGCTTGATAGGATGGAAAAGTTCTCAACCTGGAGGGTGAGTCCACAACATCACTAATATTCTCAATCACTACTGTAACAGGTGGCACGGATTCGAAGTACTGACACCCTTCTTCCTTACAATCACACAGGACCCATCAACTGGATTGGCGCCATTTGTCTACCCACTTCCACCGCTTTCGACGATCCAGCTGCCAAGGATCGCTTGGATCCCATTGGTCCCATTGGCGCTCTTCAGAACAGCCTTGATCGTCGTCTTGGGCCTGTTGTTTGTGATTTTCGAGGGATCCGGTTTGGTTTTTTCAGTCAGCAAACAACTTGTTCACTTTCTCTGTCTTCCCCCTTTTTTTCCTTTTTGGCAATCTATATATGTGTGTGTGTAAATGTAGGTTAATTGACAACAAATCTATTTTTTAATATCTCAGCTTTTTTCGGTCAAGCTTCATTCGATCTTGCAATATTATTGCACCGCCATTTTCAGTCGGATAACACTCTATCTTCTAGGTTTCACCCAACTGCCCTCAGATCGCCCCTTCACCCATCGGACATCGTAAGCGGTCTTGCTTGATTCCCGCGAAAAATTTCGGACAGACTGAAATATTTCATCTCCTCTTAGATCTCAGAAGCTCATTTCAACCACAGTCCGGCCTGGCGATTTGGTCGTATGCAACTGGTCTAGCTATGTAGACATCCTCTATCTTGCATATCTGTAAGCTTCATCAACGTACGCCTCGATTTTCAGCCTTTAAAATCATGTCATCTCCACATCATATGGTCGTATTTTTCCAAAGATCAAAAAAATTAAAACTAAAAAAAGTGGGGAAAATTGATGCTGGAAACCGTTTACAGATACAATCCAATTTTTATCATTCCTGTCTTGAAACATGGGGCTCCTTCTCAAGGATCAGAAGTTCTGGTTCGTGGATTCGAAAGCAAAGGTGTTTTAGGGATGATTTTTCGCACTGGTCATCCACCTAGCCACAATCCTGCAACAAAGATCAAGAGCTTGGCGCAATTCCTACAGGAATCTAAACGTCTCAGACGACCCTTAATCATTTTCCCAGAGGTATGTCATAATCTTCACTCAGCTTTTGTGACTTTGTGGCAACCATCGTCCAACGAAGGCCTAGGTTTTTTTAAAATCTGTAACATCGTTTTATTCTACATTGCAGGGAACTACGTCTAATAATCGTGCTTTACTAAGATGCCCAAAGTTGAACGAAATAAGTGTGGGTAAATATGATGGAAAGGTTAAGGTGTTTTGCTTGGCAATTAAGTCAGTCAAAAGCTTTCCATTTATCCTCCTCAACTGCATTTTTGTTTGTAAAGAAAAAGGCCCTACCTTGGCTGCAAACATTAGCATTAAGGGCTTTGATCAAACTCCAAATTCCTTGAAATTCAATTTTTCATGTTTTGCTCCATGAAAATATCCATTACAGACATGAAACGCCCACCCCATTCAAGAATTCGATAACAGTACCGATTCCCACCTCACGATGAACCTGATGCACATGGTACAAGCAAATCTAGTCCCAATTCTGGTGCCGTTTCTCTTCTCGCCGCGATCGATCCTGGTCCGGTTCCCCAGGAAGGACTTCATCGAGCTGGATTCTTCGACTCAACTGGTCAACTCTTTCGAGCTCGCTTTCGACCTTATCAGCCAGGCTGCTAAACTTAAACTGACCTCTCAAATTTCGTGCGCTGATAAAACTGGGTTTCTCAACTACTTGAAATCTAGAAAGTCTTGATCTTTTCCTCACTCTTTTTATTGCCAAGTCTTTTCAATCAGTTGAAAGAACAGTTCGGATGTTTCCTCCCTATCGGGCGAGAAATTGGAATAGATTGAAAAAAGATTGCTCCAGTTCAAATCATCAATAAGGAAGATTGCTGTAGATGATAGATGGCATTAAATTGGATGAAGATGATTCCTTGTGAAAGAATTTGTTGAGGAATCTTCAATTTTCTAGTGAGACCTTTTGGAACTGTACGCATAACTTGCTGGTTACAAAGACTCAACATGTAAGCTGATTGGGCGTTTTGGGCAGCTTTGACTTGGACAGTCCCTCAAAGGTTGAGGGGCTCTCCATGAGCCTATAATTCATGTATAATAATGGCCCCAAAATCATTACAGAAGTAAGTGCTTGTCAAAAGGGATGAAAAACAGGTTTGATTGTTGAAAGTAGAGCCAGGACTTTGAAAGTCAAAAAAATAGTCAAGTCAGAGAACAAGATAAAAATGATGAGAACAAGAAATAAAAGAGTAGAGGAATAACAGCATACCATGTAGAAAATGATTTTTAGATGGAAAGAGAACAGACAAGCTGAAGTAGACAAGATCAAAAAGAGACAGATAGTAAACGCTATGAAACAGCAAGAAGAATTAAATAGGTTAATGCTGGTTTTTGGATTGATTGGATGAGAGAGGAGCATTGGTCATAGTGTTTTCTCACCAAATTGGCAAAAGCCAAGTGAGTGCATCAACTAGAGATAGAGTTGGCACAATGAGAATCATAGTTGAAAATGATGTGGATAGATTGAGGTGAGTTCAGTGCTGATAGGATTGAGTTACAAGCAACAGTGAAACCAATACAATACATGTAGTTGCATGTATTGGTATGTTTTG